CTCCAGAATGCATTTCTCGGGCATGTAAACAACGGTGGCAGGGCACCGGGCACCTGGTTTGGAGGTTGGATGTTGAAGGTTCGACCGTGGTCTTCCTCAAGAGCGCGTTCCAGTTCGGGGTTGGGTGTTTCCAGTAATAGTGTAAGAAAAAAAGTGTGGGGTCACTCTTTTTATTATTATTATGAGGTCTACCTGTATACATTTACATACCTTCGTTGGAATACTTGTTCTTCTTGGGTCTCTCTGGGAAAATCTACATACGACGTGCCTGGCAGGACTTGCCTGCTCTCTAACGTTCTCTCAGTCCCTCCTGGGACACTGTCCGGATGAAGAGAACCAGCAGGTGCAGACAGTGGCCTAGCTCTGTAAGGCCCCTTTCTTAACCAATCCTCCCTCCCGCCCACCCTGTGGGCTTGGGCGGCAGTCGAGGAGGGACTGCAGAAGGCAGAGGGTGAGGCAGGGCTAGTCCACGCCTCCCAGAGAGCCGCCAGGAAGCTGTCTAAGGTACTGAAACAGAACGCTTCCATCAACAACCCACTGCTGTCCAGCTGATGCTGACTGAGAGCCACCCTAAGAACAGAGTAGAACGGCTCCCATCGGGTTTCCAAAGCTGTCGCTCTTTATGGGAGCCAATCGCCACCTCTGTCTCCCGTGGATCTGCTGCTGGGTTCGAACTGCTGGCCTTTCTGAGAGCTCCTGGCACAGTCAACAGGACAGCAAAATGACCTGCATGGATCCTCGGTCTGCTCCTGGACATGTGCGGCGAGGTGAGGGTCACACCGGAGGCATGCGTGGGGGGTTAAAAGCAGTAAGGAAAGGAGAAGCAAACCGCTGGTAGTGCCGTGGTTTCCTGGGGTCTCCGCGGTGGTCCTCTGGGGGGAAGTCACAGCACTTGTTCTGGAAGAAAACGCCTTTTCTTCATGTGGGCTGCCCGGGAGATCCTGGAACGTAGCACTGACGTCATGCTTCTCTCTACCAACCCCATGACCTTGTTGGTAACTACGGCTGCCTTCAAGGTGGACCCGCGTCGAAGCGCAGACGAGACAAAGTCAGGTCTGGGCCACCGTGGGGGGCAGCGGTGATTCCATGTCCACACCCGTGGACTGCACTGTACTTAGGAAGAGACATTCTTTTCTCCATTCTGGGGCAGAGGGACTTACAGCGTGAGACATCAATGAGGCGGGTCTAGTGATCGGCAAAAGAAGCGGCACCTGTGTTGGAGTGTTATTTATTCCAAATCCGAATCTCTCTTTGCTTCTTTCCCCTGGGCGTGTAGTCACAGAGCCAAGACAGGGAACCTAAGAGGGAGAGACCCCCACCCCCCCATAGGCCCAAGCCACGATTCCTTCCATGGGCTTCCCTCTTGACCTCTGCTTCCATGTGCTCAGCACTTTGGAATGCACTTGTGCATACATGCTCTGTGTCTCCTAATTTGGTCGGAGACTGCTGTCACACCAATGGTCCCCGCGGAGGGCAGACGGACAGCGGAGACTCGGGCCCTTACCCCTCTGGTTCTTTTGGATGGCAGCAAGCCTTTCTGGAGGTGTGATGGCGTGAAGGTGCATCTTATGAGGATGGCCAGAGCTTGATGGTAAGGGGTCAATGATAATCATACTGATGGAGCCTTTGATGCAAAGGTGCAGGCTTTTGTTTGGACTTCAATCTAAGGAGAGGCGAGCCCCTAGTCAGGTCTGACTTACCAGCTGGTGCGCTGTCCTGGAATTCCACCCCAATGGGTGGCATTCAAGAATCACAGTACATCCTTGGCTATACAGTACATGAAGCTATAATATGGCTTAAGCGATGAGGGGGGTGGCTTTATATTTCTAATTCAAGTGTCTATATATTTGGGAGTCTATTAGAGCACTTTTTAACTGGGCACTGAGTTACTAGGAAGATTATATAGTAGAGGCTTTGCCACTAGGCCAGCCTGCCGGGAGTGGACCGAACTGAGTTCATTCAGTACTGGAGTAAGATGAGCCTAATCAGTCGTTTTAAAATACAGCCTCACTTCAAATAGGTCAGGAAACCTCCTTTACCATCAAACTTGGAAATAAGGGACAAGAAGGCAGAGCCTGAGAACCCACCTGCCCTCTTTTCCCCTCTGATACGCAGCGGGATTAGCCACAAGACGGACACGAGGAGGAGATCCCTGCACAATCACCGCCCGAGGCAATGCAGTCCCAAGTCATCGTGGATGGATTGTACTTGCAGGAGAACAAGTGACTGCCCTCCATCGAGTTGAAAGACTGCCCTGGAAGTAGCCTCCCATTGGCCCTTGTGGGGCCAGCATGCAGGCTGGGGTCCTCATCTTCTTTCTGGAGAGTGCATCTTTTTACTCTCGGGCCAAGGATGCAAACCCTACATAGCTGTTGCATTACCAGTAGGTGAAGTTATTCTCTGCGATGCCCATGGGTTTCTAGGAGGCCAGTGGCTATGGCTACTGGAAACAAATGCATTCCCTCCCATGGCTAGTTTTTGCTGCTTGATCTTCAGGGTTCGCCTGAATGTCTAGCATTAAAGAGAGTGAAAAAAAAAAAAGGAACTTTCCACAGCCCATGATGCAACAGTGATGGATCCGTGTACCCTATTGGACAGGGGTGCGGAGCAGTGGCCTCTGACATGCCATTTATTTGAAATGAAGGCTAAATCCCCCCCACACACACACACACATCCCCACCCCAACAGGCTTACAGAAGAACGGAGAGGATGAGTCGGGCTATGTCAGGCTGTAGACTGAATGACTAAGGTTAGTCTTCCCTTGGTGAAACGGAATCCCACGGAAGAGCTGCACGGTTATTCCACCGGTTTACACGTTTCCTTTGTGCTCTGACAAACTGCCACGGAGAACAGCAACGCCGTCCTCGGGGTATAAAACAAGGGGGTGGGGAGGAAGGGGCTTTTCAGGCACCCCCTGGTCAAAAGAGCAACAGCAAAGGCCAACCGCAAGTGGGACTCTGATGGCGTGAACAAGCGGGGTCCGCGCAGATGCGGGAGGGAGTTTATCTCAAGATAAGCACGGGACTTCCAAAGAGCCAACGGCAGCAATCACGAACGACACAAAGAAAAGGCGCAGGACAAGACCAGCTCTTCTCGAAAACGTAGCCAGGTAAAGTGTAAGGCCTGCCCTCTCTTTCTGCCCAAGGGTTCCCTTCCTGATCCGTAGAGGACCAGGCCAGGTGCCACAGAAGAGACACCCCCCCCACACCCGCCACACACACAGCCAGACACCAACTTGGGAAGTGGGGGGGGGGTTTCGTTACAGAGCGTACCCCAACAGAATGACCGTACCCAGAGGCCACCCTCTTGCTTGCCCCTAAACGGATGACACATTCCATCCAGCCTCAGAGACTCCCCCACCATCAGCATGAGAACTGGTGTGATGAATCACAGCATGGTCCCCACACCACGCACGTGCAGGTAGGATTCAGGACCAGGCGGACATTCTGCAGCCACGGCCCCTGGCTTCCCAGGGCCCATCCCTCACTGGGTCTGCGTTTTACCATGAGTCCCAGGGCCATGGACACAGGTTTTGCTCCAAGGTCAACAGGCTTCCACGGACCTGTGTCGTCTCACCTACACACCCTCTAAAGACCCTCTGTGCCTCTTCCTGGACTCAAGTTGAGGCAACTGCAGGCCAAGTGGAAGGGACCACAGGACCCCCACTTCTCCCAGCACAGTAGCTTCCAGGGGAAACTCATGACCACTTTGGATCCCTAACATCTGGGGTTGGAACCCAGCCACTGGCTAACTAACTGCAGCTCAGCAAGCTCCCCAACAAGGCTACTGGCCACCGAGGTGCCACTAGGTCGCACCTGTTTGCATGCGTGCAAGCCCCACGCGTGGCACGCACGTGCATGCACACACACACATTCTCTGCCCTTTTCCATCAATCCATACACCAGGTCACACGGTCCATCGAAACACAGCTTGTTGGGATGCAAGAAGAAATCTGCCGAAGCTGTTATTTTTTTAAGAAGGCCCACTTATCCCTTCAGAACGCCAACAATTTGGGCTCGGCATTCATCGCACATCAAGCCTGGTGCGGATCCAGGGCAAGGCAACCTGCAGTGTGTGGGAGGGACCTGCATCTTCCGCAGCTGAGCACGTGGCCCACGCTCCACACAGGCACGGAAAACACTTCTCGCTCGGCTTCCCACCGACTCTGTGGCCACGTGGAGATGCCCATGACACCAGGGCCTTTCGTATGAACCACAGGAAGAAGGACCAGGGTTGGAGATGAGGGTGTGTGTGTGTGCGTGTGGTGGGTCTGCTTGCAAACACACAGGTTTGCATGGGGATGAATATTGGCTGGGAAGGTCGACTTTTTTTCCTTCTTCTTCCCCCTAGTCTTCACTGGAGTTTTGCGACTGCTTCAGCTCTGAGAGGAAATGATATCTGTTTGGGCAAGTTGTGGGCAGCCCTCTTTCAGGTTTGCCTTCCAAAGACTTAGACAAAAGGAGAGGAGAGAGGGGTGCATGAGGACCCGGTCCCCGTAGGGAGGAGCCGCTCCCCCAGGCCTGACAGGGCTCCTCCCTCCCAGCGGGACCTCCTGTAGGCTTGCTTCCTTCTCGGTGCGTGCGCCCCCACCCCCCACGTGAAGACCTGAGATTGGGCGTGGGTTTCTGTTCTCCACCAAGCTCCGCAGCAAGGGCCCTGCCAGCGGCGCCGCTCCCCGCCCTGTCCTCTTCCCGCTGCCAAGCAGAGGCACCGAAACAGAGATTAGATTTCTGGTTTCAAGGCATCTCGAACCAAGCGGCCGATTGAACACGAGTGACTTAGTTCGCTCGGTCTGGTCTCTCTTCTTGAAGGCCCCTGGTCCGCGAGCTCCTCGCTGGCCAACCAAGAGAGAGTTGACTGACTTCTTAAGACCTATGGGTAAACGCGTCTGGAGCGGGGTGGGTAGGGCGTGGGGGTGCTATTTAGCAACTGCTTGAACTTGTGTAGGGGGTCGGGAAGGAGGTGGAGCTGACCCCGATGGGGCTGTCGGCCAGGGGGGCGTGGGTGACGCCCCGCGCGTCCATGAGGGCCGCCAGGAGCTGCTGCTGCTGCTGGCGCAGCGTGTCCGCGATGAGCAGGGGCAGCGAGGTGAAGCTGGCGGTCAGGTGCTCCAGTTTAGACTCCAGGCTGCCGATCTGCTTCTCCAGGTCTTCGCTCCGGTCATTGAGCTCCGTGATCAAGTCATACATGACGTTCTGCATCTGTGTCGGAGAGATGGGAGACAGTGGCCACCGGTCAGCAGCGGGGGCGGGGGTGAGAACGGAGGGAAGAACGGACACGCTCACTCACTCTCATGACAGCCGGGAGGGTTAGACTACTCCCCAGAGGACAGGGGGACTCTGTCTGCAGTCAGCTATGTGTGACGTGCCTTTTACCTTCCTGGCGGGGAGGAGGCGGAGGCGGCCCCTTCAAAAGCAAGACAAGCACACACAGACGACATGTATACGTGTAATGATAGCCTCCCATCGTCATGAAGTTACTGTCCCCACCCCGAGCCCCCTTCAAACACAGCAGCCAGGTTACGGACTGTGTCCTCAGGCCAGGCCACGCCAGTCCTCTGCTGTGAGCAGACTGGCCACGCCAGTCCTCTGCTGTGAGCCCTGCCGCAGTCCGGGGTGACTCAGAACAAACATCGGTGTCCATCTGTTTGGCAAACCACAACCTCTGGCTCCTGTCACTGTGGAGAGCTCCCGCCCGCTCACCCCTGCATGCACCTCCCCAGACTCTCTTCCTTGCTGTTCCTTATAGCCCGCGGGCAAGTGCTTGCCTGAGGCATGACTCTTTGTCAGTGGCGTTGGGAGGCTGCCCCTGTGGGTTTCCAAGACTGTAACTTTTTAGGGGAGTAGAAAGCCTCATCTTTCTCCCACAGAGTGGCTGGTGGGTTCGAACTGCTGACCTTGAAGTTAGCAAGGCAACATGTAACCACGATGTCACCAGGGCTCCCAAGCTATCAGGGCCTCCTTTTAGGCCAAGGTACTCATTGTCCAGCTACTCGGGCTATTGCCTGCTGATGGCTCCCAGTTGAGCACCCTGAGATAGTTTATTGTGCCAGCCTGGCCGATAAACACAAGTGGGATTAACTGAAGGGCAGAGAGATAAATGGCTTGGTGAGTCTTGCCTTTCTTGTCTCTCGCTCTTTGATCATCGGACCAGTGTGCGGCTGCCTTGCTTGTCCTGTGCCTCAATTTAAAGGCTACACTACCTGTGGGACGCCTAGCCTGTGGACTGTGTCGCTGTAAGTTGAGGTCCCTTTAAGACATCGCTGGAGCTGGGGACTGGCAGTTGGTGACCTGGCTGGCAGTTGGTGACCTGCCTTCTGATTGGCTGCTGTGCTGACACATCCTAGCTCTCTCTATAAATAGAGGAAGATCTGGCAGCAGACTAGACTTGAAGGACTGCTAGTCTCTCACAGCTCTCTCTCACGGGCGTGAGTTACACTGAGCCATTTGTAGTGCTTTATAATTTAACTGTTCATTTCTTGTATTATATATTTATCTGTAAATGATTTAACAGTTCCTTTCTTGTTATAAATCTAATTGTCTTTATAAATAAATATATTAAATTATCAGCAATTTGGTTTTCTCTCTCTAGAGAACCCTGTCTAACACAGTTTGGTCCTCAGCTGCAGCACAGGGAGCTGCTTGCAAGGAGGGACTGCGCTTCCCCTGCCTGGTCAATGAGGAGCAGAGGGCGGGGCTGCCGTGCCTGCAGGTGGGGCATCCCTGGAGGGACAATCCATCACCTCCAAGCTCCAGGTGCTTCAGGAGTCACACCTCGTCCTCCAGGAAGGAGACCCAGATCCACTTCTGGCCGATGCCCCTCCAGTTCAGCACCAACCACCTGCCAGCCGGCCAGCGTGTTGCCGTGATGCTGAACAGAGGGTGGCCAGGCTTCTGGATGGAGACAGACCAGGAAGAAAGGGCTGGGGGTCTGCTTTTAAAAAGCAGCCAACGAGCACCCCCCACGGGGGACAACAGCCCAATTCCGTCACTCATGAGGTCGCCAGGAGTCAGGGGCAGACCCGGGGGCCGTGGATCTGCACGCCATCAGTCCCACTGACGGTTGCGGAGCAAGTGAATAGGTCAAGTTGTGGCCCAGGTGATAATCACTGTCCCTTCCGTCCTGTCACTGTCCCTTCCTGTCCACAGTGCCAAGCATCACCGGTCCTGTACCGTCCTCACCACCGTGCTTATGGCTTATCCTGCCGCCCAGCACCAGTGCTCTGGGTCCCCGAGGGACCTGCAGACCAACACAGGAGGTCACCTCCTCATCAGGAAGTCAGGGGCCCCCAGAGGTGGCTCTCTCACTAGGTGCATCGCAGCCTGGGTTAGCACCCCCGCGCTGGGTGTGCTGAAGGCAGAGGAAGGGCCAGTGGTGGGAGGGGCTCCTCAGGGTGCCCACCTTTCTGGGGATGGACAGAACCACTGATGTGCTGACCTGATAGCTCTCAACCCCGAGCCTGTCCTCTGAGTCTCAGGCCCGGGGCTGTTGCTGCCACCCGCCCACCCTTTGGGCGGTCCCCTGCTCCTTTGGATCCCGGCTTCCTCACCTGCATCGACACTCAGAGCTACGCTTGGCAAAAGTCTTTGGCGTTTGCAGAGCTGTCCCACAAACAGCCCTTTATCGGATCACCGGAGCCTCGGCCGGCAGGAATTATTCTCACATTTCCGTGGAAGCGATGAAAGCTATCGGATCAAGAGGCCAAGCCATCCCCATCACCCCGGAAGCGAACGATTCACCAGAGAAAACAGCTTTTGGAGGCTACACATCACACTCTTAATCTAGGGGACCCAAGGGCAGGGTGGGGAGGCGGGAGATGGGGGGATCAAGCGCAGAGGAAGCAAAGAGTGCGCTGTTGCCTCCCTGGGTCTGTTGCCTGGTGACAGGATGCCAGGGGGAAGGTGGACCTGTGTGAAGCACACTAAGCTCTGGCCAGGACCCGGGTGAGGCTTCTGGGAGGGAGAGACAGCCACTGGAAGAATGTCAGCGTTCCCTCCCTGCCAGGTCACACACAGCACCCTGTCCCCGGACTCCTGATCCCTAATCCTTTCAGAAACAACTCGTCTCCTCTGATTCGTGGCTTAGCCCACCCAATTCACTGAGGTGTTGCTTCACCCAGTTTTGCCCTGGGCGGGCTCCATCCCTCCAGTGAGAGGCAGGGGCTGGCACAGCAGCAGTGAAGGGATGGACCGGTTCTCCTGACAACCCCCAGTGGGGACATGGCCACTTCAGTGCCTCCCGCCGAGTGAGAGGAGAGGCAGGCAGCACTGATGGCTGTGGAAGAAATGTTGGCGCATCTGCTGGGCCACTGGGCTACTCCTGAAGTGCAGAGAAGTAGTTGTTCCCTGTGAAGAGGGCTAGGACCCCAGCCATCTGTGCCCCACACCACCCTCTTTCTGATTGGTCTGAGGGTGGGCACAGATAAGCTCTCTGGAGAATTTTGAATGGAGACCAATTAGTCTGTGCCTGTGGCTAGAAGGGCAATATGTACTCCCTGGGCTGTGGGCTGGCCATAGTCTGCCGTGGAGACAGGAGGCATAGAGAGCTGTCGGAAGCAAGGGGGTGGGAGCAGAGAGCGCTGGGGAGCAGGCACATGAGCCGGAGAGAGAAGAGACGGGGAGAGACTGAGAGAGACGCTTCCTGGCTTGGGAGGGTTTCCGGGCCCTTGGCTCTAGCCAGTGAGGCTCTCTTGGACCATTACAATGCCTGCGTGGTACAGGCAGTTTCCAATCGGCTGTCAATCTAAAGGCTGGCAGTTCGAAGCCACCCAACGGCGCCGCAGAAGAAATTTCTGGCAATCCACTCCTGCAGAGACCAGTCAAGAAGGCTCTTGGGGGCAGCTCCGCCGTCACACAGGGAGTCCCCA